CAGTACTTGCTTATCAACTACATAGAGCTTCATGTTGGATAAAGAAACAGCTTTTTTCCAAACCTTACCATTGACAGTTAAAATAGCACCAATTTGTTTCAACTCTAAAAAAAATTCCAGGTCCTAACCAATCATGTTCCATCTGACTTTCTTTACGACCTATTTTTCTGTGATTTCTAACTAAAACTTGATCGCCTGTTTTAAATGTAAAAGATTTCCATCCTTTAAGTTAATTTGAGGCATAATACTTTTTCATTTTTATTTGGGCATGACAAATATTGTTATTTTCTTCTGTAACAACTTTATTATATGAACCAAATTTTTCTTAAATTTGCTCATCCAATGCATTACTTTCAACATTGTTATTGTCATTAGTACCAGAATCACTATTATTCAGTGATAAAGTTGAGAACAAGTTTGCTTCTCTGCCAAACATTAAAAAAGGGTGTAAATTTAGTTGACTTATGCACACATGTGCACAGATCAAATAAAACAGCTTCTAACAACTCATCCCTATTGTCTTGGGTATCATTAGATAATTTAGAGAGAGATTTTTTAATTGCCTGATTAGTTCTTTCATCTTTTCCGTTGGTTTGAGGGTGGTAGGCAGAGGTTATTAAGTGTTTGATTTGAAATAAAGAGAACAAAATGTTTATTTAAACTATTTACAAACTCGGGAATAGTATAGTTCTAAATACCTCTAAAGATATTTCTCAAGAATATAATTTTGATTCTTTTAAACAAAATCTTAAAAAAACTCATTTTTTCAACTGAAAATATACTAATCAACTTTTAAATTTTTGAAAACTTCTTATCTATATTAGTATGTGTATTTTATTTAATGTATATTTTTTATTTCTTTGTTAATTATTTTATCAACAAACAATTATTTAACATGTTTAATTTGGTGAATTATTTAACATGTTTTTAAGTTTTGGAACTCTTCTATTGTAATATTGTATGTTTATTTTTAATTTAATTTATAATATTAAATTACTTTTTATTAATTTTGTAATAAAAAGAAATTGAATAATATTATATAAATAACAAGAATAGAAAAATTGAAAATAAAAAAAAGAATAATAATAAAATAAAAATAATAATAATAACTGAAAAAAGAAAAAGACAAAAGTATTTTATATATATATATATATATATATATATATATATATATATATATATATATATATATATATATATATATATATATATATATATATATATATATATATATATATATGTATATATATATATATATATATATATATATATATATATATATATATATATATATATATATATATATATATATATATATATATATATATATATATATATATATATATATGAAAAAGAAAATAAAAAAAATGGATGTATGCGTATCTGCCAATCCTTTCGCAGTGGCTACGCGTTTTTGTCGTTAAAAAAGTAAACGGTAATTTGGTAATTTGGCTAAACATACAGCGATAACCATCGTATCTAGGTTCTTGTACAACCTTTTGAATGATCTAGAAATGTACTTTATTCAGTCTGGAAATGTGATTGCATTGATTATTTACAGTGATATTAGTGAATAATAAAGCAATTAATAAGTTTCAGTGATTATTTTCGACAAATTAAATTCAGTGCGCGCAAGAGATTTATTTAGAAAATTATGAACATTATTCGCATGAGTCAGCAGTTCGAAAGACACAGTAATTTGATTGATTGATGCAAGGCGTCAACACTACAACAAAAGGAAAAACCATAAAAAAAAAACGTTCTAATTTTTTCAGAAGCGGTTTCTCTGTCACAAGATCTTATGGTCTTCTTTGAGTATCCGCGTTCTTTATTTTTATTTTTATACTTTATTTCTTAACGACTTGTTAACTTTTCTTTTTATATATTATTTGTAACATATGTATCATAAATATTGTAATAAAGAACAAACAAACAAAAAAAAAAAAAAAATGAATTGATGTATACTTCGTCAATCAATAGCAAAAACTTTTTTTGCATTTCATTTTCAAGTTTAAAAAACTGAATATAAAAACTTTGTATCATCCTGCAGCTGCAGGATAATACAGAGGTTGACATTTAAAGGTATTTTATTTTTTCGTGCGTAAGATTGTATAATTTTTGATATAACTTCTACTATAGGTTTTTCCACTCTGTTTTCATGAACTGAAATATTTTTTTGCAACCAGTAATTTTTTCTCTTTCAATCAATCTTGTAAATATGCGGTGATACTTCCAGTATAAATATTTTTTAACTTACTAAAAAAAATCCTAATGTAATCTGTAAATTGGTTATATCAACATCTTCCTATTCTAATGTATTATTTTCAAGAACGCAATCGAGAAGATGTAAGTGCACATTTTTAATACAAATCCCTAGATCTGGAGTTTAATCACTAGATCTCTTTTCTTCATGATTAAAAATGAAATTTAAAACTTATTATTTTATATTATGGGTATTGAGGTTTATCCTTCTCCGGCTAATAGCCATAGAGAGACCATATACTCGCAAAGACAAGTTCAGCTCACTAAAGAGCATCATCAACCGCTTCGCTGACCAAAATTAAGTGGGTTGAAATAGAAAGGTAGCATAGAATAATCGGGCAGATACTGCACTTTTATATTACTTGGCAGATATTGTAGCTTCTTAAGAGAGATAGATAGCTTCATTCATGTTGTTAGTTAAAATAACAAAAAGAAACTACAATTTAAAAACCTGACAGGAGCAAGAAGAAGACAAATTGTCTTATCGCTGAGCCCCCATTACATTGGTGTTTTGTAAACGTTTTAAATTTACATGCGAAATAAATAATCAATAAAATAGTATGTACACAAAAACAAATTTCAAAAAAACTTTTAAAATGAAAAATAGAAACTTTTAACAACAATTTTTCAACGGAGTAATTGAAGTAATAAAATGAAACAAAAAAATGATAATCAAGAAGTTATCAATCCACAAAAATTGTGTTGCGTTTTATTATAAATAATGAAATATAACTAAATATTTATAACTAATTATTTAATATCAACAAAAACAAAACAAAATAAAAAAGTTGAAGAAATGTAGTAAAAAAGTTAAAGAAATTTAGTGAAAAAGTTGAAGAAATGTAGTAAAAAAGTTTGAAAAATGTAGTACAGATCTAAAATAATTTTTTGATTCAAACAATTAAATTATTTTAATAATATTTTTTTATATATATATCGTATATATATAGTATATCGAAAACCATGTTTAGTAAATGCCGTTTTGAATCAGCCTTAAAACTTTCGATTGTGCAGTTTAAGACGAATTTTAGTTTATCAATTAAAATGCGAAGAAAATTTTTCCAAACAAAAGGTCCACGTTATTAAATTTGGTAAGAACTTATTTTAAGATAGGTTATGGGAAGTTGTTTTCTAGGATTTTTTTTGAGAATTATGAGTAGGATATTTATGAGAATATTAAAAGATTGAAATGTTATTGTCATTTCTGTACCATCAAATCTCAAATCTGATCTCGAGCACCTTTTTTACTTCTGATTTTTGTTCTTTTTCATTGTTGGAATTCAAAAGAGTCTGAATCATTCACTAAATGCAAATTTTTTTAGTTTTTTAATCGTTATTGTAACAATTTTTTTAGCTGGACAGTTTAGTTGTTTTGATAAGAATAAAACATGTTGAGGTCCACCAAACCAGGCGTTACGCAACAAAAAAAAAAGTAAAAAAGATGAAAAAACAAAAAACAATAACAGCATAATCAACAAAATTGATTTTTTCTAGTAAGCCAATATATCCTTTACGGGAATAAAGAGCAGATTCTATTTTATGGCAACACTCCAGTTCTTACATTAATAATTTTAGTTCTTGTAATAATTTCGCTAAATATGAAGGCGCAACATAAGTCAACGATTCGACGTTTATATTTGTCGTATCAAACCCAATCTCGATTATAAAAATTACAATATTTCTATAGTTCTATTTTTAATTTCAAAAAGTTAAAAAAAAATAATATGATATGTCATATGGAAAAAATTACTTCCTTGTGGTATATATTTCTTGGGCTAAAAATAAATACCACAAACTATTTAAATAAAACAAAATATGAAAAATCAATAAATTAAAATGTTTGCCTCTCTAAAACATTCAAACCATAATTTCATATCCTAATAATTTCTAATAAACTAACTGCTAATTACTGGTTATAAACTCATCTTATATTAGTTATAAACACATCTTGTCTTATAAACACATCTTATCTTAGTTAAATATCAAGTTTACACTCTTGGTAAAATAAATTTCTAAAATAAGAATGTTTTTCTATGCAAACTAATACTTTATTTTATTCCCGTTTGGGAGAAGTTTTAAATAAATTTAGTCGGTATTAGGTTTAGATAATGATCTTGAGTCTCCGCATATATATATATATATATATATATATATATATATATATATATATATATATATATATATATATATATATATATATATATATATATATATATATTGTATTAAGATAAACAACAAATGTAAAGTAAATAAAAAAGATAAAGCCAGGATTGTATAATATTTTAATTAAACCAAAAACATTGATTTTAAGCACGAAAGTGTAAATATTACAATAATTTTTTTAATACGTTCGCAATACCTACTTGCTTTGTGAGATATTTGTTTGGGTGTTCTTAAAATCTTAGCGTTGATGACTAATATGCTCTGATTTATTAAATGCTTTACGTAAATTAAAAATGAAGACTTTATTGTTAACTTTTTAATTAATATTTTTTCCGAATATTTCCAATAAACCGCATTTTACTATGGTATCGAAACAATCGAACCGATGCAATTTTTTCAATATACAATAAAGTATGCATTTTGCAGGTTTTTTGAATATTTTTTTAAAATTGTTTAGTTTTTATTTTTTCCCGAAAATTCATTTTGAATAAAGAGCTTTTATTTAAAAAATAAAATTACTATAAATTTGTAATAAAGAATTTAAGATATTTATACAAAAAGAATATTAAATAAAATTAAATAAATAAATAAAATTTTGTTTTTTCAAAAGAATGTTGAATTATTTTTCCTGATGTGCAAAAAAAAACTCGACATTTAATTATGCCGAGTCAGAATAAAGCGAAGGATCATAATTAAGAGAGTAACGACTATCGTACGAGGAGCAACTGCAAACAGAGTCTTTAGTCTTTTTTTTAAATAAAGATTGTTTTGACGAAGAACTGTCACTTCCGTTTGAAACAGTCGTATTTTTATGATCAACTACTTCTTGATTTTCCGTGGTCAAATTCACTTTGTTATCTGGATTTTTGTCTTCATCCTTACAACTTTTACTTAAGTTAATCGATGCATTTTCTCTTTCTTGATTGATTTTATGTAATAAGAAAGGATGATAACTATAATAGCGATCTTCTAAAATCTAAATTAAAGTATAACTTTAAGATTAAAAAATAAGACTTAAAAAAATAAAGAAAAATATTTTATGCTAAAACGTTAAGCTATGTTAATTAATGTAAAAAAAACCTGCTAAAAGATGCAACTCAAGAAAACTAGAAAATTAAACAATTAAAACAACTGAACATTGAAGCTTAATCAAAACCTCACCATGTTTGAGAATAAAACTGCTGAATACACTGTAAAACTGCGTAATCTTACTGTCTTTCTATCAAAGTGCTCAACTAAACATTTAACCAACAAGATTAGACTCAAGAATATTTTTAGTATTATATTCTGTTATATAGTATATCAACTTTCTCCCTAAAATATGCAACAAACTAAAACGTATTGCAAGTTAAGATAGACTAGTAACTAAGGTCAAAGTAACTTAATATAGATCTTTTCGAAGACCTCTGACTTTTCTTTTGAAAAATACTGACAATTATTTTTGATAATTAATTTTGAGTTAAAATTTAATATTATACCTAATATAATTTTTACGTCGCAAAAGATTCAAAAGGCGACGTATATAATTATACCCAATACCAAAACCAAAAACAGGCCGTTACAAAAAACCTAATACATGATCAAAAACCGTCTGTTTCCATACGGCTGAAAAATAATACCGATTTTCCAAAATCAAGAAACGTTTTAGAATATACTATTTTAACAATGAACCAAAAAACAAATAATTTAGAATTTGCTTTTGTATTAATTTATCCTGATATAATTGTTGCATTTTGTAATCTGCCGCGTCTTGATATATTTGTTTCAAGCTAAAAACTGTTTTGTAAAAAGTTTTATTCAAATATGAAATATAAAGTTCACCTACCAATTTGAAATTAAATTTTCATTTATTAGTGGTATTTTCATATCATTCCATTCGAAAATTATTGTCTTATTTAAGAAGTTTAAGCAAAAAAAAAATCTGAACAAAAAGATCATTTAATAATTTAGATTTAAATACATTATAATAATTGTCAATCAAAAAATTATCATTATTATTCATAAGTAGTTTAAGATATTGGTGTTAAAGTACAAGAACCTTTGAACAATTATTTTCCAATTAGTTGATATTCCGTAAAAATTAATTTTTAAAGTTGTGTATTTTGACTTTAACGTTAAAACAAACTCTAAAATAATTTTAGAAATTAAACTGATTCAGATTTTCAATTAAATCAGAAACACTTATATTTTGATTGCGTTTTAGTTTATGCATTAATGGGATATAGTTATACAGCTTTAGCGTAAGTAAATGGATGCTTAGTTTTACACTCTGACTTTAAGTTTATGTGTAGAACTAACCATTGCTGACTGCTATAAAACAATTGAAGGCAAAAAAAAGAAGATATTTATTAAACCATGAAACTTAATATATTTGTTATTTTCTATAATAGTAAATCCACAGTTTTATATTAACTTACTATATACCATTAATATTCAACTTTTTATTTCTAAAATTTTTTACCTTTTCTCTATTTAATTTTATAAACATTAGTAAACATCTTAGAGCATGCTTCATTTTTTTTTTAAAGTTTCCATGTTTATTCATATATACATGGAAACACATATATATTAATTCTTACTAAATTCTGAACAAAATACTAAAATCTTACTTAAAATCTTACCCGACGATAGTACTCAATGAAATCATCATCATAATTTTCAGCCATATAAGGTTGCTAAAGAAATGTTGTAAATTCTTTAAAAATGATAATTAATTGTAAACAAAACTAATTATTAATTTATTTTATTTATTTATCATTAAAAAAAAAGAATACAATGCCGTGTTATATAAATAAAGTCTACATGATCGAAGCTAAAAGAAGACAATATTTGCCTTATCACTATACCCCTACGCTTATCAGCAAGCGTGTATAACCATTAAAATGTAAACATAAAACATAAAATTACTTTGTACCATTTAAAAATTATATAGAAATATAGAAATAAATTAAATAAAATAATTAAAAAATATAAATGGAAAAAAAAAACTAACATCTGCTGTTTCCAAAGATTTATTGCATTTCTCTTTAGGTGAATATAAGCTACAAAAACAAAATTGAAAAATTTTTAAGAATAATTGATATTTACATAATTATGAAATATTTAACAAAACAGTTTTTGCTATAATTTTCTAATAAAATCTGCGAATTGTTAAGGTGACAAATAAAAACATAATAAAATGACAAATTAACATATTAAAATAATAAGATTACATTGCACAATGACAAAGTTAAAAGTAACAGAATATGAATAATAATTTTACGTTGCAGAATAACTCACATAACAGTCAAAATTTCACATGATAAGCATTAACTATTGAAATTTGTCATCTACTTACAATTCATTTCTCTTTGCTGAATTCTTTATAGAAGACAATTTATCATCTAATAAGAAAAAATTTATATATAAATGACTATTCAAAAATACATTCAATAGATATTAAAAACTAAGAATGAATATGAAAGAATACAATCCAAATGATTTGAACTGACTGACTAAAATGTTAAAAAAAAAAATAGAATATGAAGAAATAATAGAATATGAAGGAATAATAAAATATGAAGGAAAAAAAAAAGAATATGAAGGGAAAAAAATAGAATATGAAGGAAAAAAAATAGAATATGAAGGGAGAAAATAGAATATGAAGGAAAAAAAATAGAATATGAAGGGAAAAAAATAGAATATGAAGGAAAAAAAATAGAATATGAAGGAAAAAAAAAGAATATGAAGGAAAAAAAAATAGAATATGAAGGAACACAATCCAAATGAATTGAAATTAATTTTTTAAATAGTTAAAAAAAATGTTAAAAAAATTAAATTGTAATGTTCAGGGGCAACTTCTAAAAAACTTAAGACAATCTTTGGAAAAGAATGATATCACATGTTGAAAATGTTTAGCATTTAATTTTATAAATGATTATAAGTGTTCTTTGAAGATTTTAATATTTTTCAATAGAACAAGCTGACACAATGATTTAACATTAAATTAATTCAATGTTAAACCTTTCTACCATTTAAAAAATGTTATACATATTTATTTTACAATCAAATTAAGATTTTTTACAGGTAAAAAAGCATGAACTATATTATAAATTTGAATTATATCAGCCTGATCACGTTTAATTACTTTTGAAAACTAATCAAACATGATCAGGCTGATATAATTCAAATTTATCTTATGTATACATTAGCCAATTTAAAACAAAATTTCTACTTTTTTTCTACCGACCATTTTGTGTTTTCATTTATATTTAACTACACAGAACAAAATATAAGATATTACGTTAAGTCAAACAGCACATTGTTTTTTACAAATAGAAGTTTTATAATAAAATTATAAAAAAGATTTAAGCAAATCAAAATTTATTTATCACTTATGTTTTGACCTTGTTTTTGACAGAAAAACTACTATTACTTTCATAAACGAATTAAACCATCAAATTCAATATAAGTAAACCCATACCAGTCTTTGCTGGTATGGGTTTACATAGATACAGACTTTTTCTTAAGATTAAAAAAGAAACGTTCTTTGAGGTTTAGTATGAGCATAAGGTTAATTGAATGTTTTGTACATGCACGTGCAATACCGAGAAGTTTTACTGTTGGAGCCAGTCGCGATTTTGTTTAGCGATTTCGACTGAAATTGTTGCAACTCCGCAATTCCAACTCCAAAGCCCTGGTTTACACAGCCATTTTATAAATTTGCTATATTGTACCTGCCAAAACCCTAAGTTGATGTATTTACAAAAACCCTTGCAGATGTCAGTATACCATAAATGACACTTCTTGCAAGACATACGAGATGCACTTTTTCATAGCAAAAAAAACGAAAAAAATAGTTTTATTATCTTCTAATAGTTTGTATTAGAAGATTCTATAATACCTATAACACCTTAAAAGACCCTGTAAGAACATAATAAGTAATTGTATTAGAAAAATGCATTGGTAATAATACATTGTTAAAATAACACATTTCATTTTCTTTATAGCAAAGAACAAATGTGATATAAGAAATAGAAGTATTATTGATTTTACAAAGAAAAAAAAACAAAAACAACAAGAATACCTTTATCTGATGACTTTTTGTTCTCTCGCAACATTAAATCTGCAGCAAGGACTGGAGACAACTTTTTCAATTTAGGGGAATAATCATGATTATAAGTTGTAAGATATTGGCCAGGAAAACAATTGACTTTATGAGCATGGTACTGAGACATTATTTCTTTTGTTTTTGATGTTGAAAGATCTTCAATCCCCTTTAACCATAATAATACCAAGGTAATTTAATTTTTTTAATTTTTTATATTTAAACAGATAACATTTTGTTTCTTAAATTAAAACCAAGAAATTTTTATATTATGCTTAAATACATAATATATATATATTTTTTATTATATTGGCTATAAAAATATTTTTTATTTTATAGCTACGGAAAATTGATTAGCTTGGAAACTTGGTTAATGTTTGACAATGCCATAAATTTCAATAATGCACAAATGTATGACTTGTACATTATTGGATTTTATATAAAATAATTGATAAATATAAGGAATAAGGATATAATTGCATTACCATAAATCATTAGATTTTCAATTATCAAAGGTGTTTTATTATGTAATGTAAAAACACATTGAAAAAGAAATTTAAATTCTAGAAAAATGTAATGAAAAGCAAAATGAGATAAAAATGTAGAATATATATATATATATATATATATATATATATATATATATATATATATATAAATATATATATAAATTTGTGGTTGTGGGTATATATATATATATAAATATATATATATATATATATATATATATATATATATATATATATATATATATATATATATATATATATATATATATACATACACACACACATATATATACACACACATATATGTGCGTATGTATATATATTTTTTATTTTAATTCACCTCCTCAAGGCCGAGAAGGCCACTACAGACAAGGAGGCTACTTATTTGTGGTTATAACCCTCTCTCAACTCTATAACTCTGAAACACGAACCTTGGCAAACAAGGCCGCTGCGCGGAGAAACGAGTTGAGCGCGGTACTACCAGGGATGTGGTGGGGATCGAACTCAGAACCACTCGTTTATGAAGCGAGCGCTCTACCACTACACCAGTACCACATAATATATATAGACACACACACCAAGAGCGAATCTAGACCGACAAGGGAGGTGATATTTCAGCAACCCCACAAATCTTTTTTATATAATTTTTGTTTAAGTTGTACTCTTTTTCTGTCATACTCTTATACTTACAGGGCCTATTCTACAAAAAAAATATGGCCGGCAATGCCCCCTTATTTTGGCGATTATTAGCGGAAAAATTAGCATTTTTTCGCGAAAAAAACAACAACAATGTTGGCCGTAAAAGCATTTTAAAAAAATGTACAAGAACATTCAAAAAAAAAAAGATCCTTAAATTTTATTTTGGGTTGACGCTATCTAAAACGGTCTAGAATAGCCCCTGACTAATATATATTACTCCTGAATTTTTAATTTTAATCTTAAATTCTATATTAACAATTTCAACCAATGTAACTATGAAATGATGTAATATATTGATATCTCATGTTTAAAATTTGATATTGTCTGGTTTAAAGTTTGCGCTGTATAACTTTATTGAATCACTTTTAAAAAGAACGTTAACAGTTAAAAAGCGAAAAGAATTTTATAGGAATTTCTAAATTCTAAATGCTTTTTATTTAATTACTCACCATGGTTTTTATTTTTGCAAACAAAACATTACAACACATTTTGTTTTTATTAATCAACTGACTACAAAATGGTTGATCTACAGGATGCGGTAGTGGTGTAGTGGTAGAGCGCTCGCTTCATAAACGAGTGGTTCCAAGTTCGATCCCCACCACGTGCCTGGTAGTACCGCGCTCAACTCGTTTCTCCGCGCAGCGGCCTTGTTCGTCAAGGTTCGTGTTTTGGAGTTATAGAGTTGAGAGAGGGTTATAGCCACAAAATAAGTAGCCTCCTCGTCTGTAGTGGCCTTCTCGGCCTTGAGGAGGTGAAGTAAAATAAAAAAAAAAAAAAAATCTCACAAACAAGATGCACTTCAGAAACTAGTTAAACAACCATTACAGGTATTTGCTAAACTGTCTGGCAAGGACAGATATCTAACAAGTCACGAAAAAGCAACATATCACAAGGAAGCTGTTGAAGCAGGAAGGTGGTTTTTAAAAAACTATGATAAACCAGCAATGAATATTATAAACAGAGTAAACACTAACAGCTTTTTTAAATCAACAGATTTTAGAAAATCGTCAACTATTGACACCTATTGTTGAAACAATTATATTTTTAGGAAGGCAAAATATTTCTTTTGGAGGCCACAGAGATTATGGCAGCTTATTAGACATAGACAATGACGGTTCTGATGTGATGAAAAATGAAGCTAATTTTCAAGAGTTACTAAAATTTAGAGTAAACTGTGGCAACTTAAATTTAAAAAATCATTTGAAAACAGCTAGAGCTTCTGCAACATACATTAGCACAACTACATAAAACGCTTTATATGAATGTTGTGGAGAAGAAATATGTGAACAAATTGTGAGTCTTTGTAGAGAATCAAACTATTATGCTATTATATTTGACAAAATAACTGATGCATCACATCAGTCACAAACAAAAACAATATTACGCTATTTGATACCTGATGGATCAATTCAAGAAGATTTGTTGGATTTGCTGATTTGCATGATCAAAATCATCAAACTATCCATTTACAATGAACCTATTCTTGACAGCAAAGTTATTGGTCAATTGGTTATAAACATGTTGGAAAAAAAGGTTACACCTTTCTTTAGAAAAATATGTCAGTGTGGGAACAGATGGTTGTAGTGTTATATTGTCATTGCAAAGAGGAGCAGTAGTTGAAATTCAACAAGTTGTGTCAAATGCTGTTTGATGTCCATGTTATAATCATCCTTTAAATTTAACTTTATCTAAGAGTTCTAACGTATAAGCAACAAGAAATTGTTTTGGGGTTATTTGCGAAGATGTTGCTTTTTTCAATGCTTCTTCAAAAAGAAATTTTATTATTAAAAAATTACTAAATTCTAAAAAACTGCTTTCACTTTACGAAACACAATGGGTTGAAAGGCATGATGCTTTGCTGACGTTTGTTGAGATTGAATGGAAGAATATTACAGGCAATCAATTTACATCCCTTTACTTGACGCATTGATATTAGACGTAAATACACGTTTTTCTAATGAAAATTTAAAATGTCTTTAAATCTATGCCTTGATGTCAAAAAATATTATTACACTGAATCATAAAGATATTATTAAAACTCTTTCTGAAATCAGTAATGTCTATGGTGTCTTTCTTGGAATCCAAATTTACCTATACCTGAATTTACATCAGAAGTTGAAATATGGCAGTGCAAATGTATAAGGATGAAAGATGAGGGAGGAATCGCAACACTACCTACTGATATTACTGTTGTTTTTTATTTGCGTGACAAGGTGCAATATCCAATCACTCACAAATTGTTTCAAATTATCAAGTCATGTCTTGCAAGTGTTACCAGTGCTGAACGTAGCTTCTCAACCCTGCGAAAAATTGAAAATTTGCTGAGAACACGAAGGACAGAAAACAAACTAGTCGAATTGGCCTTACCAGGCTTTGTTTTAAAGTTAACAGTAAGCGATTCCGGTTAAGCGACTTTTATCATTTTTTAACTTTTAAGTGGTAAGATATAAGTAATTAATTTTTAAAAAATTCACATTAACTTTTAAACAACGTTATGTTGTTCAAAATTAATTATGTTTGATATAAGCGCTATTTACTAATGAAAAAAACTCAAATAAAATTAAAAGTTTATTTTTATTTTGTTTTTACTTTATTGTAATGATTGATTTTTTCAGCTTGATGAAAAGATCATAAAAAAATAATTTAATTCTGATAAAAAATTTATGATTTAATTTAGAACTAATTTAATAAAAATATATAATTTTATTCTATTAAAAAAAATATAATCTAAATTAGATTTTAAAAATAAATTTAAAATTTAATTTTGATTTAAAAAATATATTTAAGTTCAAAACTAAAAGTTAATGCTTGTTTTTAACTTAACTGTCAAATTTATTTAAAAACATTAAATAATGTTCAATATTGAAATTTTATTTGTTCTTAAAAAAAAATTAGCTCAATTTTATCGCAATTATTTTTTTGGTTTTCCTTCCTTAACATTTTTTTTTTTTTACTCAAAATTAAATTTTAAATAAACGGCTGCATCAAAAATTTGTTAAAAGTTACACTTTTTCATTTATAGCAAGTTAAATCGCAGCAATTATTTTTTAATAAATGATATACAATATACAATTATTTTATTATTAAAATTATATAATATATAATTTTAATAATAAAATAATAAACTTTTAATAAATAAAGTAAATAAATTAACATGACTTTTTTATTTGTTACTTGCTTTTTTTTTAATAAAAAATCATTTGTAATTGCAAAGCTGCAATTAGAAGTTTAAGAAATAATTAATTTAAAAATTCAAAAATTTAACATATATCAATTCAAATGTCGAAAAAAGAAATAAATTTTTAATATCAAACATTTTTAAAAATGAAATATTAAATTTAATTACTTAATATTAAACAAAAAAGAAAATAAATATTTATAGTAATAATAAAAAAGCCATTAAATAACATTTTAAACTGAAGGCCAAAGCATAAAAAGATGCTTTAAAATCAATTTTCGTGGTGCAGTCATGAGCTCTAAAAAATTTTGATGCAAATGAGCGTTTTAAGGTGTTAAGATTATAAACTATAAATTTCTCAGTTCAAAAACCCACAGTTTTTTCGAGCTTTGAAAAACCATCAAAACAATCTATCGATTTCTATCGATTTTAGCTCTTAACTTTCTAAATTCTAAATTCTTTTTATTTAGTTACTCACCATGGTTTTTATTTTTGCAAACAAAACATTACAACACATTTTGTTTTTATTAATCAACTGACTACAAAATGGTTGATCTACAGGATATTACAGGATAAAATCGATAGAAATCAGATATCGATTTCTATCGATTTTAGCTCTTATTCTTTTCAAAAAAGCCTTTTAAAATATACGTAAATACAATAATTAAAAACTATTACTTAAAAGTAATCCTTCCTGCATCAGCATAAATTTTTGAGATTCCACTACAATATGACATTAACATATGGAAATCACCAAGACGTACTACAATACAACTTAAGTATTCTTCAGTCTTCCACCTAACTAACTGTATTTTTGAGTAGACAGCTTCATCAAAAACCAACACAATATGTGCTAGCTCAAGCGTGTTAGTAATTGTGAGTGCTTGCTTCAAAATTTGATTGATAGTTGATATTTCAGTTACAGGTGCATCAATAACTGGTAAGTAAGCAATAGTAGTTAGCATATTTTTATCAGACATTATAGTGTTTAAACCTGTCCATGAAGGTAGAATTTCTGAGCTTATAGTTGCAACTTGATAAAACAGTAGGCCAGATCATATTTAATAAAAAGCAATTGTTCTTTGACATTTGTGGAAGGTGTCAAATCAAATAGATTATTTTGTGTAAAATAACTTTGGCTATCATATGGAATACTAAATGATGGTTTTTTTCCTAAATAATATGGTTGAACCACTTGTTTTGGCAATGGAACAGTTTTTAATCTTCTGCTAACTTGAATAGAGTTGCTAAAATTGCAATTGTATTTTTCCTGAATGCAAATTCCATGAGTAACATGAGTTGTTCCAGATCCAGAGAGAGTTTCTTTAAGAAAATCAGCATTATCATATACTAGAGTTGTGAACTTTTTTTTTGATACATTACATGGAACAATGGTATTAACCATCACATTTAATGCTGCTAACGCAGATTCGTGACGAATGACAATTGAACTTGATACACAATGACCAAATTTATTTAAAATGTCAATAAGCTTGATGGATCCAGTAAGTTGTCTGACTGTTATACCGAGTGCAAGATGTTTGTATGTATTGGTTCGCCCTTTTGACAAAACATAAATAAGATCTTGTGCAATAGAAATAACTTTAAGCATAAGTGGTGTTGTAATAGAATGACGTTGATTATAAAGATAGGGTTGATCAGAAAAACCAAGAACAAGACAAAAAATTATATAGTACTATTGGAACACTTTCAACACAATTTTCAATGGTAAACAAATGTGAAACTGGAGGCTAAATCCCAGTGAAATCAGCTATTCCTTGAATAACCTTTCTCAACTCTAATGCCACCATGTAAAAATGGACCAATTCTATACTAATATTTCGTTAAGGAATTTCTTTTGTGTTGTCATCATGACTATTACTATCATCTTCATCTGTATTTTCAGTTGAACTATTATTAACAAAAGATTCTGCAGCAAATCCTACATTACAGTCCGATATATAAACAATTTCACTTTTAGATCTATTACTTGGTTTATAAAATACTAATTTAGGGTATTTAGAAACAAGTCTGTTCTTTAATCTAGTTGATTGGTATATTAATATATCACTATTTTCAAATTGATTTATAAAAGAAATAAACTTTTTTAGAAGGCTCTTGAGAGTCATAATTTCATTATTGTTTATAATTCTTTCCATAACAATATCTTCACAAAGTTTTTGAAAAGCAATATCATAGTTTTTAGAAGTATCTAAATAGGTTTTGGACATCGTTGAATATTGCGTACCTCTTGGGTGTATAAAGTGTAGCAGATTTTGTGGTATCTTACCCCTACAGCAACACAGTCTTTGTCTTTTATTTACAAGAGTATACGCTCATGATTTTTTTGCTCTGCAGCTTCACAAAGTAATCCTGCATCTTTTGTTTCTGCCAGAGTTAGATATTGCACAGATCGCTTTAGTTGTACCTAATAAAAAATTTTAATAAGTAAATTAAAGAGTATTCAAAAATATACATATAATATAATAGTATATTTAATAAATAAAACAATATGAGTAGCTATGCAATATTTGGTCTGTAAAGAATTGCTAAGTTATACATATTACACACACACACACACACAAATATATATATATATATATATATATATATATATATATATATATATATATATATATATATATATATATATATATATATATATATATATATATATATATATATATATATATATATATATTATCAGACAACCTTACCTTATCCAGAAAGTACTTCTCCACCTTTTCACAAACCAAACAAATTTCGGGTAAAATGTGAGTGTTATTTCTATCACGATTACTGTTAGAGCTGTTGCATTTTCTTGTGGATTTTCTACCTCTAGTGCAAAGTGTTGTTGGTGAAGTAGATCTTCTTTTATTTTTAGCTTTAGATTCATTAATTTTTTTTTTCTATTCTTGCAATAAAGACTTTGTCAGTGAATTTTTGGTAACATTTTAAATGATAATATGGAGAGCAAGTGCTTCCTGTTGTTGTAGCATAAAGATCCTCAAATGAAAGATCTTTCCCAACAAAATTGAGAGAAATTTCCGCAACAGTTTTCCCTTCCTCCGCAAGAGAAAACCATTTAGTTCTTTTTATACAAACGTTTTTTTTAGAAAACTTATTTAACTTGCCACTGCTTCCAGTTAAATGAACAATATAGAACGGTTTGTGGCACTCGGCTGACATTTTGCTTATGGATAATATTTATTTTCTGTTTTTGTGTAATTTGTCGAACATAATTTTAAAGTTTTTTTTAGAGTTTATTGTATTCTGTAAAATACACAAACAATAAATCGACAAAAAAAATATGGCGCAGAGATATCGAAACACACAATAAGGTTAAAGTTTGAAAATTTAAAAGAGCTATAACTTGAAAACTGCGCGATTACAAGTTGAGAAACTTTACCCATCAATTTATTATACCTTAAAACGCAAAATAATTTGTAAAATGGTTAGAGCTCATTACTGCACTACGAAACTGAACAATACAGATTGATGGCCTGTGGTCTATTTAACTCGTTTTGCAGTAATATTATTGCAGTAAATTAAAAAAGTTAATATCTTTTAAAATAAAAAAATAAAGAGAATTTTATGAAGTCAAATATCGTGTTAAGCTAATGTATTAAGCATTTTTTATTCAAAAGAAGGCCTGCCTTACTTAATGTGAGAAAGACAAATTCCAGTAAATGTTGAAAATGTGATTGACCCTTTTGCAAAGTTGGAAAATTGTAAATTAGAATTTGTAATATAAGTTGTTAAAATAATCAACAAATCAAGTATGCTTTTTATGCTCTTATGAATCCACCCTTGATACACACACACCTAAATATACCTATATGCTATATATATTTTTATACAACTAGTTCATGAAGATTGTATGTCATTGTCTGAAAATTTACGCTATAGTTTTTTAAATAATAAATTAAACAAAAATTCTAAAAAACAATTGCAAAAAGATTACTTAGTTTGAGTATTACTTTTAATGATATTGCAAGAAGTAATTTAAGTACTTCCTTTTTTTTGATTTATATATCTTATTTATATTTCTTTTGCTTTTAAATTAAAACAAATATTAAAGTTTTACTAATCTTACGAAACTTTTCTTTCTATTTTGTTCTACTCTTTTATAAAAATAGCGGGCAATGAAATAAAAACTTTTCTTTCTTAATATAAAATTAAACTTAGAGATAAAATTAAATTAGAAATAAATCAACAATGAGCAAAGCAACTAACAGATTAATCTGGGACTATTTTGATATCAATGAAAATAATCAACATAAACAACATTACCAACAACAATATAATCAAATAAACAACACAATATTGCATACTTTTAGGGGCTTTTTATTTTTATTACTTGTTCGAAATAATAAGTAAATTTAGTTTAAGTTAATATTTCAATATTTACAGTGGTAATATAATAAAGAAATGATGTTTAATGTTGAACTTTTTATTTAGTTATTTATTTTTTACCTACATTTGTTATAAAAAACTTTAAAACGTAAGACGTAATTATTAAAACTAATTTGTTTCGTTTGACTTCCCGAACTTCATGCAAAGCAAATTGAGACAAAATATTGTGTAACCAAATAAAAACAAGACTCTGATAAAAAAAACAATTTTTTATCAGAGTCTTGAGTATTGAGATAATAAATATTCATAATTTATAAAAATTATATATATGGCGCAATAACAATTAATAGCAACGAACCAGCATAAATTATTTGAGGTTTTTAATATCTTTTAAACGTTAAAAATAGAAAAAAAAACTAAACAAACAATCAAAAAAATTTTGAATAAAAATAAATAAAAATTATTTCCAGAGTTTCATTTGTTAAAAGACTACAGTGACGTCAAATACTAAAACTTTTATGAATTAAACGCGCTTCAAAGGAATCACCGAAGTCTGTAGATTGCGACATAATTTGAAGACTCCAAGTTATTGAATAAAATGGAGAAGGTGAGCTTCAACTGAAACAACAACATTAGTTTTCTCTGTATGCATTCATTATTTATTTTTAGTCAAAAAAAACTTGGTTCAAACCTTTTTTTTTTAACATTATCTTTAATATGAACACAACACGTGTTGAGAGTTTGGGATCCCTTTAATAGTTATTTTAAGAGCAGTTAATTTTTGTTCAAATATTAACAAAAAAAGCCTATATAATAACATAATATCTCTATCTTATGAAAATTTATACACATTCCTTTATTAATGGACAGTCAAAACACAGTTTAAATAAAAAAAACAGTGTTTTAAAAATATTTGAAAATTTTAATTTAAATTAAAACAAATTAAATTAAAATTTTCAAGTAAAATAAAAATGTTATTTTATGCTGTTTTTGTCTTATTTCAATAATTAATCTTTTTAAAACAAATATAAAAATTTATATTAGCTTAAATTAGGTTTAAATACTTAAAATTTATATGAAATAGAACATTAAACACATATGTGTATATCATCATTTGTTATCTTTCAGTATTACTTTTTTAAGTATAAGTGTATTGTTTTTCTTAGTTTAGATACTAAACAAGGTCAACTCCTATTGACATGTATTTATGAGTCTTGTTCAGAAATATAGTCAATATAAGGTTGTGCACACAAAAAAAATTTGAATTTTGGAAGCCTGTTTATTCATACATATATAGTATATATTGATTCATGATATTCAGTCTTACCTCAAGATATAGATTCAGACAGCTATCAGAAATGTTTTTTTTGTCTTCTTCATTTTTATAACTACTTAGAAATTTTTTACGACCTTTCTGAAAAAAAGGTTCAGCTAAAACATTTTTAGAATAAGTTGGTAAAACAACTGGACTACTGAGTTCTTTTGTTGTATATGTACACAAAATGTTATGATTATTTTTGTACAAAGTAATCCTTTTCTTTTGAAGACAAGGTTCTGGCTGATAAGCATCATTTACCAGATCAGTTCGCATGTAACGATGTAAGCTGTCATCTTGCTTAAGATATCCATCAAATGCCATATTATCTCCCAATAAAATACAATCTCCTTGATGAGGAACAACTCTTTTTTTTTGAATATATGGAGAGTAGGTAAACTTAGCAGAAGGAATGCCAGCTGTTAACAAAATATTTAGATTTTGAGTTTTAGAATCTTTCTGTTCATGTGAGGATTTATGTGAGCTTGATTTACCATATGATAGGTCTGGAGTTTTAGGTAAAGAAGATTTTGTCTAAAGTTAATAATAAAAAATTAAGAAAATAAAAACATGATTCCATTAGGTATAGAAATATTCAAACAACCTTATGATGATGACGTAGGTGATGTTTGCGATGCTTCTTTGGAGTATTTGAATCAACAGGATGTTTTAAATTATCTTTTAATGGGACTTTTGTAATCTTTTCTTTGTTATTTTTAAGAATTCCTTGTGGAGCCTCTATGTTCTCATTTCTGGAATGTGTGTTTGTTTGGTTGTTAAAACTTCTATCATACTCTGTTGAATATACAGTCTATGTAAAAATAATAATTTATCAATAAAAAAATAATTTAGTGAAGTTTTAATTAGCTTTTACTTCATTAAAACTATATAAAAGTAATAATATTGAATACACAATAATAATTGTTGCTGTAAATTAAAAATCTATCTACAGTTAAGCACAAACCAATTGTAATAATTTATATCTATTAGTCTAGATTATTGAATGAAGTAAAATAATAATAATAATAATAATAATAATAATAATAATAATAAGCCCAGTAGTTGATAGGTCTTATGTCATGTTCCTTTAGTCTAATGTCAAAAATTTGGAAACACCGACTTAATATGAATTAGAATCAAAAGTGTGTATAACATAAAATAAACAGTTCTAACAACAGCTTATTTAAAAATATGAAACCTTTTTTGAATTCTGCTAGAAACTGAAACCAATTATGGTTAATAACCTCTTACACTAATATGCATACAATAATTTAAAAGTTAATAAAATATTAAAAAAAGATCAGAATTCAAAACTAATGTTTACATTATTAAAACATTTTTTATAGATTGGGTTAAAGAAATATATTATTTCAGAGAGTAAAAATAGTAGAGCAGCTCCCCTCCACTCTTGTACCTTTGGTCCACAATATCAGAGATAGCGGAGACTGGAGTCTCCGGTATCTCTGATATTGTGGACCAAAGGTATAATTTAAATTTTTTTCAGTAACTTATATACTAATAATTATTTTTTAAGGTTGAGAAGGGGAGAGAGTTAAATGCCCCACTCCTTAAGTCTGTGTATCCACCGCTATGTTGCAATGTAAAAATTATTCATTTTTTTATTTTTTGTAATTACACTTGTTTTAATAAAGATTAGAGTTCTTATAAGAGCAAAACATTTGCAATACTCCAGTGTGTTAGATTCTCACTATCACATCCATTCTTAACTGTAAAATAGAACTCTGGTATGCTGGTGGTCTGGAATAAAGTAGCAACAACTTTTTATATATAAAAATTGAAAATTTAATTTGAAAAAATCTTTTATAGTAAAATATGAACATTTTAATAGTAAGATTGTAGTTTAGTGCCACCTCTGGCCCCCTTGATATGCGAATCAGCTAAAGGACAATTTATATTTGTAGCCCGTTCTTACATCTATCTTAAGTTTAGGTATTGAGATAAGAATTGACAAAGTTATAACAATTTTAGTTAAAAAAAATAAACTTTGATTTGACACAGTTTCTTTAACAAACCTATATATGAAAAATTTGCAACTTAAAACTTTATAACTTTTTATAAGTTAGTTAGATTTTGACAATTTTTCAATTTTAAAATACTGCAGGACTAATGATAACATTTTATTTTTTAATTAGTTTAAAAACTTTAGTTTAACAAACGTAATGCATCAGCAACCTTTAGAATTAGAAAAAATTAGGTCGGCAATAAATTACTGATCTTAAACTATTAGGGATCAGCATAAATTCCGCAAAAAAAATTGCTGATCTTGTTTCTATGTTTTGTAGTGACACAAAGGGGTCACCACAAAACATAGAACTAAGGTCAGCATTTTTTTGCAGACCTCAAACACTTTAAGGTCGGCATTGGTAAATGCTGACCCTAATTCTGTAGGCTCCATCAGTGTATACAAATACTTCGATGGACCACACTGGACCAGTACAAAACCACATGGGAGTGTAAAAAAAAAAAAGATACAAAGGTCTTACCATAAAACATTAAAACGAGGTTGGTAATTTTTTGCCAACCTTAAATACTTTAAGGTCGGCATTGCCCAATGCCAACCCTAATTCCGAGGGTTGTATATTAATAGAGAAAATCATATGTTTGTCCTATTTGTGATATCCAATAAAGGTTCATAACAAATTAAAATAATAACTTATATTAAACTTATAATTATATACAAAAATTGCAACAACAACAAAAAAAAAAGAAAGAAAATGTGTTGTTATTGTTTATAAAATACAAATATTCTTTAATATTCGAAAAGTGATAATTTTACATTTTTCAAAACTAAATTTTTCAAACCTAACATTCATTTTGTAGACTATTCATCAAGTTTATTTATGACATTTTGAAACACCTTTGAATCTTTTTGAGAAAAAATAGGCAAAATTATTATTAAACAATAATAAAAACATTAAGACGTATTAAACTTACAAAAATTAAAACACTAAACTTTACCGAAGAAAAAGTTCAAAAAGATTGCTTTAAACCTGCACCACTGCCCTCACAAAACATCCCAACATCAACAGTGCTACCTCGGCGTAGTTAAGGCGATTTACAAAATATTTAAATACTTTTATTTGGAATTAGCATGGTTTTGTCAGCATATTATGCCCAAACAAGATCTTTAAATGTTATAATTTTTTTTTACTTAAGGTTTTTATGATATTTAAAGAAACTTTTCTTTTTTATATATAATTTTCAAAATCTTTTTACTACCTGTAATAATGTATCTAAAGAACATTAGTTTAGAGTCTTTAGATCAATTCCGCTCATCGGCATTAACATGAATTTAGTTAAAATCTTTTAAAAAAGTTTCTTAATTTACTACTGATCCTAGTTCTAATCGGTTCTGACTTATATTAACTATATATAGTTGTCAAAACACAATATTTCTATCTATTTTTGAAAAAATACTTAAATTAGAATTTCTTATGCTATTTTTCTTAAATTAGAGTTTCTTATGTTATTAGTTTTTAAAAACTATTTTAAATTATTTTAAATAATGTAATTAAATTACAATAATTTTTAGAATTATTATTTAACTTTGATTTGACGAACTTTATTTGGAGTATGGGATTTTTTTACCTTTAAATTGGGAGTTTTAATTTTATGAGCATTTGGGAAAACCGCATTTGCAGGGTGTGTTTAAATTAGCATGAAAGTACTGAAATCAGGCTTGGCCAGGAAGGCGTGCAATGTCAAGTCTTTATATGATCACATAAATAATATTTTGTTTTGACGATTTAATCACAACTTTTAACATATGCGCTGAAAAAATGGTTTAATAATAATTACAGATTATTATGTTGAAAATAAATAACTTCGACACATTTATCTTTACTAAGGTTTTTATATTAGCAAAATGCTTTTAAAGTAGCTAATGATTTTTATTGAAGTAATATCAAAAGTTTTATTTACATTATTTAATTAGGGGAAAGTGGGGCACCATGAAACATAAGCACCATCAACAAAGCAATTATACAGCGATATTAAAGTATTGTGACAAATCCTTTTGAGTTGTAATCAGTTACTACTAGATGTATTGCTAAACGTATAATTCAAATCAGAACATGTCAATAATATTGCAAGAGGTTTAAATTTGTTTTTTCCATTGCAAAGTAATTTATAAATTTTTGGAGCTGTTGCGTTTTACCGTGTTTAATTCACTCTATTCTTCGGAAAGTGCTTCTATTTTGTTAAATTTCATGAGCTCTTCAGTGTGGCAAAGACATTTATTAAAAATGAAAATGAAACTGAATTAATGTACCATTTTGAAAATTACTCGATGGTCAAGCATACTTTAATTAGTTCCCGGCAGGAAATAATCACTTCTATATTTTAATTTTTCAACTAACTTGGTAAAAAATCGATGGACCATTAAATAAAGTTTATGTAACAAAAATAAATTTTACATTATTTAGTATTAATGCATGTATGATGTACTTATGTAGTTATAAAATTAATTTTGTCTTATAAACATAAGTTACAAAAGTTTACATAAGTTTGCTTTATTAACTCTTTTTTGTTGAAGGATTAAAATTCATTAAATTTATCTTTTTATACTGATTTCTATTACTATATAAATTATATTGATGTAAATTAAAGCTCTGAGTGGTATCAAGTCATGATATGACCATGAATTGAATTTTAATACATTGTTTGCTATGAATTTTTATACATTGTTGTCATTTTACACAAGTTTGTTATTGCTTTAATATTTTTAGTTTAGATTGAGGAGCTATGTAAGAAAAACTAGGAAAGGAACCTTCTCGAGTAATTCAATGGAAGTAGCTGTTGATTTAGTTTTAACAGAAGGGTGCTCATTAAAAAATACTGCAGGAAAAATGAATCTTAATCATAGCATCCTTTGCAGGTAATTTATGCTTATAGATTCTGCACCAATAAGTACTACTTTGTCCTACTTAGTAAATGAAACTTGTATAAGTTTGTAACTAAAAGCAAATTTTTAATATGTGTTTTTATGTATACAGATATATTAAAAGAAAAAAGGAATAAAAGAAGGAGATATCATAACTATGAAACCCAATTTTTCTACAAGAAGAGTAGTTACTGAAGAGCAAGAAAATCTTTTGAAGCAGTATATTGTTACTTGCTTTCAAATGTGCTATGGACAGTCCGTTGTAAATTTAAGATCTATTGCTTTTGATATGGCTATGATAAATAATAAAAGTTCACAGTAACTGTATTAAAGAAAAGAAAGCTGGAATAGAATGGGTGGGCTTGTTTTTAAAGCGGTATTCTTTAAGTATTTGAATGCCAGAAGGATGTTCTTTGTCAAGAACAACATCTTTCAATAATTACAATGTATAAAAGTTTTTTACTAATTTAGAGGCACTGTATTTAAGAGAATCAAAATATGGTGATGGATTTCACATTTGGAATCTTGACAAAACAGCTACCACCACTGTACAAAGATGTAATAAAATCATTACTAAAAAAGACATCAAACAAGTTAACTCTGTGACAAGTGGAAAGCGTGGAACTTAAATACACAGTTATTTGTAGAAGTAATTCAATGATTTATATCAAAAACATTCTCGTCAAAAGAAAATCCATCTCTACTTATAATCACGAGAGCCACTTATCTGTAAAAGCTCTTGATCTTGCAAAGAATAATGGTGTTACTATTATTCACTTACTATACCACCACATAGTAGTCACAAAATGCAGCCCTTAGATGTCTCTGAATTTGCTTCATTCAAAGTTTATTATAATGACACAGAAAAACTTCTAAATCATCCTGGAGTACCAATCACTTGGCTTCTA